GAGGGGCTTTTGGTAACGATTTTATTTGCGTAGCAATGTGACTGCTGTTATTGGGGGTAGTGCGGGGTCGTGCGGCAGAGTACATGGAGTTGACGTCGGCCGTCTGTGGCTTGGTGGAGACGGGTGTTGAAGCTTCTTGCGACAATGTCGGTAGGCCTGTGGGGGTTGGGAGTGGTGATGAAGCTTTGGAGGAGCCTCCGCCAAAGACACGTCGGAAGAAGCCAGGCTTGGGCGCGGCTGGGGTTTGCACAGGGAACAGGGGACTTCTCGCGGCCACAGACGGTGAGGGAGCGGACGGGTCATGCCATGATGGCACAGGAGGCAACTCCCGCAAGGTACTGGCGTTGACAAACTCCTGCGCCTGGGCTCTCATGCTTGGTCCAGGCTGGCTCTTGTTCTTGCGCAGCGTCCTGTAGCTTGTGTTGGAACGCACGCTGCCTCTCCGGCCAGGTCTCGGTCCTTGTGGCGCGGCGAAGGCTGGTTGGGGAGGTAGAGCGAGGGGAGATTGCGGTGGTTCCTGGACCCTTCGAGGGCCAGCCGGGATGGTGGGCTCGGGAGCGGCATCGTATTCATCGGGATAGTTTTGATAGGCAACCCTGCCACGGTCCAAAACAGATTCAACTCTGAGAGGTGAGACTCTACCCCGGTCGCTTGCATTGCTATGGTCGAAACTCGCTGAGCGCTTCCCAAAACCAAGACGCTGGTTGCCCAAAATGCCAGACTGGCCAAAGTCCATGCTCGAGGAGCCGCTGCCCATGCTGCCCTTCTTGTTGCCGCCTCTCAGATGGCCCGCCTGTGGGAGCTGGCCATACTGGCCGGTGCCTTGGCGGCCCGTGTACATGTCCCGCGTGCTTCCCTTCCTGTGAATCGGCGAGCCGATGTTGTTGCTGCTGTTGCTTCGTCGTGCGCGCGAGTGGTGGACTGTGTATCGCGAGTGCTCGTCGGGGTTGAGGTCATAGTCGGAGGAGCGTGACGAGGCGTAGGTGTGGCCGCGATGGCGGGCGCCGGGCGGTCGGTACGAGTTGTCCCTGAGGAAGAAGTCGTCTTCGGCGTAGTTGTTGTATTGGGGCCCTGAGCTGCCGCCAAACAGGTTACCCGTGGAGAATTGGTCGAGCGAGAGCAGCATGTTGTCGACGACAGAGTCTCTCACGTTACCCCCCTCGGCGAAGGAGAGGTCGTGCGAGTCCCGGAGCGGATCGTGCTTGGAGGAGTCGTTGTAGCGGTCTACGGGGGTGGCATCGTCGAAGAAGGTCTCCTGCTTGGGCGGGTTGGTGTTGAGGGCTCGCATAGACCCGTTCGGTCGGAAGGTCCTCGAGGAGCCGGTGGGCGTGGAGGGACGGCCCTCGTGCTGTGAGTAATCCGCCATGGTGATGGGCGCTGTGTGAGGGTGAGCGTCGAGTACCTTCCCACACTGGGGCGCAGGAGCATTCTCCGGAAAGCCCAGACAGGTCGCTGAGGGCTATGCAGGAGCAATTGAGCAGCGTGCCGTGACTGCAGACGGCACGGACAGGTGACGGAGGTGGTCAATGGCGCGATGCTGCTTGGGCGCGCCGTTCCTCAGCCTGGGAAGCCAGCGGCTTGCGGCAGAACGATGCTAGGGGTGAGGTAAGGCGTCTCGCAGTCGCTCTCGCATGACACGCGCAGGCGGCGGAGGCTCTAAACTCAGTTTACGAGAGGGTTGCGGGGCTTCAGGGGTTCCAAACGACGATGGTGGTCGTGTTGCAGGACGAGGCCAAGAGGAGCCACGCGCGAGCACTAGGTGCGGATCTCCACCAGATATGGGGGCAGGCCTCAGTCCCCAGGCAATGATCTGAGGACAGGAGGGCAGGAGGGAGAGCAGCAGACGCCGTCGCGGTCGCACGACGCGTTCGGGGCAGAGAAGCGTTGCTGGCTGCGAGCCCCAATGCAGGAGAAGGGCAGCTAGCAACTTTTGAGATGCCGGTGCAGGACATCCCAAACTTTGTCGTGGCACCCCTGCACGCCCACGACCGAAGCATCCAACACGGTCGCGCCTGCGAGTCAACACGTCTTGGTCCCCGCGCCCGGACCAGCCCTGTGTGCGCCTGCCTCCTGGTCGCGCCCATGAAACGCTGCCGTGTACCACCAGCCATTGGCATCCTGCAGCCACACGGCAAATCAGGAACCCCAAGCACTGTTCACTTGTTCACTAACGCGGTTCCGTCAATAGGGTGACCCCCGGCCTGTTCCTGTTCCCATTGCCTCTTAAAACGTTCGGTATACCCATAGCGAGCTGACACAAAGTCGCTCCAGCGCGCGTTGATAGGCCCGCACGCGGCTGGAGTAATTATCAGTGACTATCCAACAGCAATTGTGCAGACGGACGCTCGGCTCGTCAATTAAAAAGGTACAAGTCCCGGGGGCTGCTGCACGGCGTAAGACCACGGGTCGCGCCTCCTGCGGGCAATCCACAACTCCGCTTTCCTGCATATCTTGCTCTTCGTCCACCACCCCTCCGGTGGAGAAATGCATTGCTGGACTTGCTTTTGCCCAACGGCACCATTCACCACCCCCTGAATCCGCGAGCGCCAACTCATCCCGACCTTATTCCTGCCCACGCTGGTATTAACACGTCGCTGCCAGACCCGCCATCGCAACTGCCTCATGGACACGTTGTACTGCAATTCTCGCTTAGTGCTCATATCTCCGAGCCCGCAGATGCGTCACCAGAAATCTTCCGTACACAGGGAACACCCCTCCACAACCCTCCACCGCCTGAGATCCTGACATCGCGACCTTCTGATCTTGGGCACCCGCTCCGATAACATGTCATGTCATTCATACTTTGAGTAATCCAGAAATCAGCAACCGCAGTTTGAGTCGAAGGCGCACTCTATACACGTAGCGTGACCAACCCCGGGATGCGCACTTTCCTTTGTCGCTCCGGCTATACACGCTGCAGTGTTCCAATATACCAAGACCGGACCTGCATACGGAGCCACCCCTCAGTCGCCTATCGCGCTTGCCCAGCCATGCATCATCACTCACTTTCAATAGCCCCTGCTACCAGATCTCTTGTTTTTCGCAGCCTAACCTTGCCGCGCCGTGTTCAAACACTCGAGGAAGGCCCGACGATAAGCCATTGTCCTAGATAGCCGAAACTCTATACTCTCCACGATCGCCCGTTGGTATTCGCGCCACCACCAACAAATCTGGCACAAAATACCCACGGCTTTCACATGTCAAGTTGCGAGTGCTTCTTCGTCTAGCGGCACACCTGCGCCGCCGCAGCGCGAACCCTATACTTGGCAGTTTATAGTGCGAACAGCAAGGGGGATTGACAGTGCCGCTCACTTCCAAATACTTGTATCAGAAATAACCACAATCATCCATCTTAGCCTCTTGTCCTACGCGCCATCACTATGCGCTATCTTGAGGTCAATCTCGAAACTCTTTTACCCGCGTTATCTTCCCCACAGTGGCGATAAGAGCAACATCAAACGTACCTCTTCCGTGCTGCGAGACAAGAATACCCAGCAGGGGTTTGTCTGACGCGGATCTAGATCTGACTTCTTGTGCGATTGCCGCACTTGAACCTTCCACTACCGCCGGGACTCGTTCCGTACCGCCAATCCATAAGCCCTAGAAAGGAGCTGAACCTTACGCAAGTACCGAGCAGGCTGCAAAGAAAGCATAACTTCTCTATATGCTTCCAGTGCTTCGAAGCCTAGACTATGGCATACTACAGCCTTTGTGCGGTGTTTCGAGAAACTTTACGATATGTCACGCCAAGCCACCGCGTCAATATGGCTCCCGTCATTTACATGTGACTCTAACGCTCACACATGAAGTCAAAACCGCTCCGTCATCCCTGTGCCACTCATGATCCAATCGCATCTCGGCAATGCTCCCGATCATCAGTCACATGTAGGATTATGCATTCTTTCCATGGAGGGTCTTGACCAAATACATCATTTTGTCAAGATAAGCTACAAGTGAAACAAGACGCTGTCCAAGCCCCTAGTACCACTGTGCAGCCTGCTCTTCTAGTTCGCGTTGATATTGCTCAGAAGCAGTAGTCCATTCATCCGTTTCGCGTCTCCGAGGCGGAACAGCTTCGCCCCGATTACCCTCACGATAATGAGCGTCGTCCACCCATTCGGCGCGAGGTTGCCGTATCCCATGCGGCGGGTGCCCCAATGGCATCTCTTGTCCTCTTAGCGGTCTTGCAGGCCCCCTCCGCCTATACCATCTTCTTGACGCGTCCATATGTCCATTCCCAATACCCGAACCAATGAGTATATCGCCTGTTACCGTATCTTGATGTTCTCGTCTTTGAGCCTCTTGCAGCAAATGTAGCATTTGCCGCAACCCTGTCAGCTCACATCGGCTATCGTTCACATGGACTAGTAATCTTGCTTCGTACGGTTCGTCCGACGTGACTACTATAGCGCGCACGTCCCAAGTGTCATCGATGTTAGGGTATGTCACTAAGCTCAGTCTACCTGCCGGCCAAGGGTTCAGAAGCGTAAGGTGACCCAGTATTGAGTTGCGAAGGTAGAGATATTCTGCGGGTGTGTTTCGGAACATCTCTGCTGGTGTTTGTTAATAAGGTAAGGCGATGGGGGTTGTGCTGGGGTGAATACATAGTAGGGTGCTGTGGTCAGTTTTATACATATAAACTTATACGAGTTTGCTGTAACAAGGCATGTGATATCTAGTAAGAATGATGCAGAAGTTACTCTGTAGTTTTTGATAGTAATGGTGATAGATTTCCTTTGTTCCGTCTTTGCCGTGTGAGTAGGTGGAATATCGGAGAGTGAGTGGGTGGTGGCGTAAATATCGTACCCAGTCCACCACTGCAACACCACACCACCATTCTGCACACTCATTCCCCTGTATCTAGTAAGCCTCTGTTCTGTAAACGGCATTGAGAACAGAAGCAACATCATATCCAGCGATATGGGGTAGTCGTTGGAAACATTCTTCATGTTCGAGACATGTTTTCCACCGGGCGCCCTGGAAACAAAGGAGTGCGTATCCTAGACCCTATGCGAGGTTGTCGTTGTGTACACTGCCCTGCTTCTCACATATAATACTTACATCGTCTTACTTCTCGCTTTTGTCTCCTTCCTCGCTTTCTTTGGCTTCTTTTACTTCTTTCGGCTTCAAGGTCTCCTCTTTACTTGTCGCATCGTCTTCGTCATCTTCTTCGTCTTCGGGCAGTGGGCCGCTAGGCGCGGGAAGGTCGCGCAGCTCCTTCCAATTTGGTAGCGGCGGGGTAACAATTGCGTCTACGATAGTAGTTGACTTAGGGTTCGCCTCAACGCTTGATTGGGTTGCCATTGTGTGGTATTGGTTGTTCTGTAAAGTTTGGTAGACGATGGTCGGAGAAATGGCGGGCGGCTGCCTGATCTTATACTCCAAGGTCTATTCTCAGCTTACTAAGCCCGGTGTGCATCGCCCCTGTGGCTTGCGTGCAAGGTGACGTTTGTTGCAAGTGACCAAAAGATATTCCTGGAGTCGGGGCGCAAGATGTACGCACTTGTTTTAGCTTTTACGCTGCTCGTGCCCCTGCAAAGTGGGAACCATGGAAGGTGCGCGAAAAAACTGAACAGGCCTGCAGCCTACATCAAGATGGCAATATGAAAAGTAGGCGACCAAACGTAAACGTAGGCTGCGGCATGTTTGATATTTCCCTCGAATGGCGTGAGTGTAAGGTTATTTGAGGTTTAGAACTTGGAATTGTCATTACTGGGAACACAACTCTCTATTGGGACAAGATTGTGAACACCTTCTGTCGCTGCGTGGACAAGTACACACCCCGTTTAAGTACTATCCACCAAACCATTCTATGAAAGGGAAGTTAATTAACACCATGCTAGAGGTTCTAGAAGTTTCTTCCGACCCTAACACCGTTCTCAACTACAACTCATTTGGCGGACGTTCAGCTTTCTTCGTGAGGACTGCTGCGCCATTCGTCCATTTATATAGATTCAAGTACCAGGCTGCATTGGAAATTAGCATTTTCTCTTGGAAAATGAGTTGAAGGAGTGATGCATACCAGATGCTAGGAAAGCAAAGGAATCGGCATTGTGTTGGCGGTTGTTTACTGAAGGAGGACTGCCACCTGTGGCGCCGGGTGCATGACCAGCGATCTTCTCGTATCCATACACTTCTCCAATGTTGCCGTCTGGCAGCGCTGCTGGACCTATTGGACTTGTTAGTTCTCTATATTGAGATGTAATTGGATGCGAAGTCTTACATTGCTGCAGATTTGCGACGTGCATCAACTCGTGTATGATCATATAGCTCAGATATTGTCCCACTGTTTCGATGCCCTGAGAATATCTCCTCAAGTCTCCACCTTTTCGCCAATCGCCGATCTCGCCTTTGACATCTTTGGTTGATGTAATTGCGCCTCCATCCCAATTCGAGCATAGAACCACAGCAGTGCCACCAGGCTGTGATCCATCCTTAAACCCGAAAGGGTAAACAAAGGCACGAAGATTGCCCTTGCAAGGTCCAGTAGCACCAGGGACGGGAGGTTTGGCACGAACCTGCGCTTGCCTGTTATCGCCGTTGTCGAAATACACACCCCGAAAGCCATCTTCCGGGTATGTGAGATGATCGTCCGAGCAAAATATCAGGACACCTCGATCGGGCGGTTGCCTTTGTCCTGTAGCATCTATAGCGCCCTGGAACTGTGCTACATAGCGAAGTCAGAAATTGTATCAGATCACCTTGCACACCTGGACAAGGCTGGAGAATTAGAGAACTTACTATGTGCGAGATTCAGAGTGGCTTGGTCGTGCTCATCTGGCGCTCCAAGAAGGTCTTGTAGAAGTGTCGCATCGGTTTGTATGTATTGTGTGTTTTGTGCCCGCTTTGAAGCGTAATCCAGGACTTCGAACACAACTTTCATGGTGTTCTCCACTCGAGTTGCTGTGTCACCAGTGCAACTGGAATGCAGGGCCCATGCCGAAACGTGGACTGCCTGGATGCTCATAAAGAGAAAACAAAATAGTTCAGACCGCATGATGACCTCGGGAGAGACGATTGAGGATAGATGAACGCCCAAGAACTAAAGGATATGCTGAATGAGGAGTTGTAGAGCAACTGCCACAAAATGTGATCTCGAATTTAGAGGGTGAGAGGAATGCTATGATATATGGTGGCTATTGCATGCTAAATTTGTTCGCAGGCATCTGCCCAGGTGGAGATGTTGGGTAAGAAGAGCCCCAAAACTAGTCCGCACGGCTGAGAAACCGGGAAACAATCTTAATCCAGCCCTGTAGATCTTGTCCTGGAATACTTGAGACTCGGAGGTAAGACTATGGGGGCAGGAAGTTTGAGATTCCCCCAATGAGGTATCATCTCTCCCGTGAGTGGCATTCCTGAGTTACGCCCCCCGTGGCTGCGCTCAGCTCACGTTACCTTACAGCCCCTAACTCCATTAAAATCGCATAGTCAAATTATCCAGGACCCATTTGTACCTAGGTATCAGCAGCTCCGGGGCCAAAATCAAACCCCCCGGGGCCGCACTCAGCTTACGTTGACTTACAGCCCCCAAACCTGTTTCAATCGCAAAGTCAAATTAGTCAAGGCCCCACTGTGCTTCTAATCAGCCTTGGAAGTTTGGAAACTGGAATACCTAGGTATAAACATTCCCGATGCTCCTCGCTTTGTTGAGCTGCTATAAGCAACCACTGAGATACATTCGGTGAGGATCACACAAAACCAATAAAGAAGAGAAGCTATTTGGATTGCATCAAGGTATGTCCTGGCGTTTAAAAGCAGAAGAAGCTTGAAGACCGCAACGAAACTCATTGATGCCCAGAGACCTACCGAACTGTCGTTGCACGGAAACTGCATCGCCAACGCTGTCTCCATCATGTGGACATTCCGAACCATATTGATATTTGCTTTCCTTGTTTCAAACATCTCCCTCGTCAACGGAGCAGATTGCGACTCGAACCAGCCCCGCAAAGAAGGGGACCCCTCAGGCGCAGACATCGCCAGCTTTCTTTCTGGTGCCCTGAACGACCCCAATGGCATCATCTGTGCTGGTGGATTCCCACCGCTAAACAATACACTGAACAGCACACTGAACAGCAAAATCACTACCTACAATGCACGCTCGATGCTTTTCAATGTTACACGAGAAGACGCCACCAAGCCCATTGAGAATTGCGACGAAGCTTTCTCGAACATCATCGAACAATGCATCCAGAACGACAACTATTGGGGCGGGGTTTGGTCGCTCAATGGCTTCATCTACACCATCGCCGACACAGTCTTTCCAGATAATGGCATTCAAGGCCCAGAAGACCCTGGGTCTCCTACCCCATCACCATCTTCAACGCCAACACCATCTTCAACTCCAACACCATCTTCAACCCTGTCGCCATCTTCAATCCCGTCGCCATCTTCGATCCCGTCACCGTCTTCGACCCCATCACCGTCTTCAACCCTGTCGCCATCTTCAACCCCGTCACCATCTTCGACCCCGTCACCGTCTTCAGCCCCGTCACCATCTTCAACTCCGACACCATCTTCAATCCCATCACCTCCTTCAACGTCGACTGTGCTCACAGAGACGGACTCGGCTGGAAGTCTAATGACTTTAACTGTGAGTCAACTGCAGACAGCAGCAGTTTGATCCGTCTTCTGACTAAACAACACAGTTCGTTCCCTCCACTGTTCCCGAATATGCGACCTTAACAAAAGTAACGACGGCCTCGACAACCACAACGGATTCTAGTGGCGCAATCATTGTCATTCCTCTAATCATCGGGGCTAGTGGAATTATATGGGGTAAGCATGGCTGAAACACTTGCTTCGAGCGAAGCTGACAATGAACGCAGTGCCTAACGGGGGTGTTCCTCTGCCACCGGGAGCGACACCTCCTTCAACACCACCTGGAAGCGATAGTGAACCTGAACAGCCAAGTGGAAACCCTGATGTCACTACAACTGATGGGCCGACTACAACTGATGGCCCGACTACGACTGATGGTCCGACTACGACTGATGGTCCGACTACGACTGATGGTCCGACTCCAACGTCGTCATCTCCGTCTTCGTCTTCGTCAGAAGCTCATGTGCCTACAGTGACCCTCGTTGGAGACCCTCCACTACCTAACTACCAGCAGATCATGGATATCGAACCTTCCGGCCCACTCCCAGATGACCCTCCCGATACCAAATCGGAATCCTCTCCCGATACCACCTCAGCCTCTTCCGATGCCCCTACCGCGCCCCCGCCCACTGCTCCTGCATCATCTTCCCCCTCCCCCACACCAGTACCGTCGAAAGTCGCTCAAACCCCTATCGACCCTCACGTCGGAACGCCAGAGTGCTTCCCAAGCCACGGGACTACCGATGCGGATCGAATCATCTCCATAGTAATGACTGATGAGCGAATCAGCACATTCTGTGCCGGCACTGAACCAGATTGGACGCAAGTCGGGGCCGACTCGGGGGGAAATGGCGATCCCAAAAACAACAATCGTTACGACGCAACGTTCACCATGGACGCAAACGCCCCAGAGCTTTGTAACCTGTTGTATACGGAGAAAGGGAAGTCTCAGCCAGATGTTCAGAATGCTTGTACCGACCCATTCAAAGCAATCAGGGAGGCATGTCCGTTCAATGGCGGACAGGTGAAAGCAGATTGTGGAGTGTGGACGCTACAAAGTTGTCCGTCCGGTGGGAGCTGTAAGGTTGGAGAGCCGGGCCAGCACTGTCAGATGAATCCAGGGAGCGCGGTGTGCTTGTGATCGATGTAACATTCGCACACGAGGTCTTTGTAAAGAATTATTTCTGCTGGAGAAGCTGGTTAGAAGTAGTGGATCGTCAGTCGTCCTCATTTAGATAGTTCAATAAGTAGTCAACGCCCATCCACGTGTGATGGAACAACCGCCGTAATAAAACAACTCACGAGCACCTTATCTTCAATGGAATAGAATCATTTTCTCTTACTGAAAGATGTCATCCTGCAGGATGACACACCAAGCTTTCCGACATTGTGGAGTCACTCCGCGTTCCAGAGCGCTTTGCCCACCCTGTGCTAATTTAAGGTTAGTCTATATAGCAATCGTACGGAACACATTTCCCAGACCGTTTTAGCTAGTCACTTCAAAGAGAGCGACTTTCGTTCTAATCTTCACCGATTGACCAGTAGAAGAGCCAACCTTCCAAACGCCTTCAAGCCTCCAGTCATCACCCTACAATATTCAATCCAGACTCTTCTTCAATCACTATTTTCACAATGAAGACCTCTATACCCCTCGTTATCTTGACTTCGGCCACCGTCACTATGGCTCGCTGCTTTCCCGACAGCGGCCAGAAATGGGCCACCGAAGCCTGCAAAGAGGCGGCTAGAGGTGCTATCAGGGACCTTTGTAACAGCGGTAGGCTCGCAGGCTATTTCAAGCAGGGCGACACCAAGTACGCTTGCGCCAATTGCCCGTCCGCGGGCATCAAGTTTGATTTCGCTGTGGGTTGGCAAGGCCGAGGCGGCTTGACCCTCAACAAAGAAGACTGCATTAAGCGACTGACCGACGAGGTTAATGGCTGCCAAGCCGGCGGCGAGAAAGTTACTGCTGACTGGCTTTTCCGGTAAGTTTTTGTATACACACAGTTAGCTTTGTACGGACAAAAACAGCTAACAACGTCTAATTGTAGGTCTGACCCTAACACGGGCCGGTGCTGAGTATATCAGCTCGTGGGATCAAAAGCGACTGAGAAGTTACAATTGGTATGGAACAGGATGGAGGAATGCTTGTGGTCGTATGTGAAAGGATATGTAGTTGGTGCTGAATAAAACGTACCAAACCCTTCGTGCAACAGCAAACCACCACTGAACACTGAAACGGGTATGACGAACTGTCACCAACATTTTATGGGATAAACGCGTGATACGACAAAGGAGTTGATACTGGTGCTTATAGTACCATATGAGGTTACTGCATTCGACCCGAAGCCGGCCACTGCAGATTCGAAGCTGAGAAGGACGGAAATGCGAAAGGCGGGATAAGCATATTGCCCGCCCCCATCTCAGCATCACCGAACATCTCCTCGATATCATTCTACATCATGGTTAGCAATGCCAGTGTGTGGTGGGGCGAGAGTGTTACTTACCCAATCGATGTCGTTGATAGCGTCCATCGCAGTGTTACCGTTAGAACCAGCTGCTATTCCACCCTCGTACATGGTAGAGTTCGGACTACTATTACTACTTTCACCTTGCTGGGCGGTGGTTGGCATCAGATTGCCTGGACTATTCCCAGGAATGACGTCGTAGGTTGAAACAGATACTGTCGCTGGCATGTCGATGGTACCCCAGTCTACAGTTGGCATAGCGCCAGGAAACGTGTTGAGCCTGGGTACTAACGTGGACTGAACCTGAGAAGTCTGTGGTGGTGACGGCGAAGGCGGTACGAGATTTTGCAGGTTTGCATTGCCGTTCAGTAAATGCGAAAGTGGACCAGAAGTACTCGGCTCAAACTGCGTGCTTCCATCACGTCCACCCTCCTTCCTCTGTACGCGTTGTCGAGGCTCCAGACCTGCTTGCGGCATGTCGGCAGGAACACGAACTCTTTTCAAGGCAGAGTAGGCTTTCGTGTTGCCGACGAGCTCTTCCAAAACCATCCTCGTTTTCTCAACGTTGGATAGTCCAGTGGGTAAATTGAACGAGTAGTCCAGACATTTCCATATTCGTTGTTCCATCGCTGGTTCCGGGTTTGCTACGTAAATCTCGCTCACGAGAAGAAGCGCGCAGTGGTGTTGATGGAGAGCACCGACGATCCATGCCCAGGAGGATAGCACTGGATGCTGCTCAATTGCCATGCCATGTTCCAGAATCATGGTCGCTGCGCTTAGTGTCAATTGTCGTAATCGCTCCGGCATTCGGCTGCGAGCAGAAGTAATGTACTTCTGTAAGATGGAAATGTACAAGCGGTTCGAGACGATGCCGTATAGCTCCGACGCTAGGACGTGTAATAGCTCTGTCTTGGACAGCATGGGAAGGTACTTCTTTTCCATAGCCGCTTGGAATGACTGAACACGCGACAGAAGCGAAGTGATTGTGACTTCGCTCTTCCCGTCAGCGCGTTTCCGATCCAATTTTGGACGCTCGGTCCAAAGGAAGCGATGCATCTCGTATCCTTCAAATCGCATGAGGCTGATAGTCATGTCGGTAAAGTGATTGCGATCTTTACTGACGTCTATTCCGCCCTCGCCACGCTCAGCACGGTCGAGATCAACATCGTCAATGTTCAGCGGAAAGCGCGTGTCATAGTCGTCGAGCCGGATTTGAGGACGTGGGCCAACAGCTTCGCAAGTACGTAGATCCAGAAAACATATTTGGTACCATATGAGGCGCCGTACTTGGATCTCAACCGGCGAGGAGCTGTAGGTCGTCGGGTCCCGGTGCAAACCCATACATTCAGCCAAACGAATAAGTGACCCAGTTAGTGCAGAGTGGGCGCGAGATACTTCGTTGCGACATAGCGGAATCTATAGGAGGTTATTAGCAAAGTTTGGTGAAGTCAACGGTCACGGGTAAATTGTCGTGTACCCGCTTTAGGACGGTAGACTCACGAGGTACATCACGAAAGCCTGGATTGTCTCCAATTTTGTAGTGCGTAGGAAGTTGGCTCGCGCAAGCGCTGCCTCCGTCCCTTCCCTGAAGCTGTCTATCATGTTTTGCTTTTCAACACCAAACTCGACTTGCACCATGTCGTCGGTCATTGAAACGACTGAGTTCAGCAAAGCCGCAAAGAGCACTGCTTGGAAAGATGCGCGAGGCTCCATGCCCATGTTGACTCTGATCCAGAAGTTCTGATACTGTCGCTCGAATGAAGGGCGGTGTACGGTCCGGGCTATGGTATGCACCGCAACCCAATACTGAGAGAGTAGTTTATCAACCACGACCCGAGCAGGCAGATGTGACTCAAGAGCGGTTTGGTCGATTCCGGACGCCAACACAAAGTTTGAAGATGGAGCGACATAGTCTTGTGTGGGTGCTAACCAATTTACGGCGTCTTCTTCGATGGCAGATAGAGACGGAGTTTCGCGATCTGGTAACTCTTTGAGTGTTGTAGCAAGCTACGAGGATGGTGTCAGTGTGATCCGACATGCTAAACACGTGGAGACTCACTTCATCTGAGAGTCTTGGACGAACAAGTCCCCCAATGCGTTCTGTGATGCGAACTCTACCCATTCGAAAGCCCAGATCGACCATGTCGTCGTTGACATCGTCGTCAGGCTCATAGTAAGCTGCATCTTCAGTAACGAGATGTGTCGGCCGGAGATCCTTAGTGTCCTCGTCGTCTTCTTGGTCGCTTGACTGTTCCTGACCAGGGAGTGTACCAACCCTAGAAAAGCTTGCAGTATTTCTCAAGTTTATTTCTGTCTTGCGCGCAACATCTTCTTCAAGGCTCCTCTCCAAACGACCCATCTGCTCTTTAACCTCGGCTAGCTTTGCCTGAGCATTTGCATCAAGTCCGGAGGCAATGAAAACGCATTGTCGCGTGTTTTTGGTGCAATGTGTACATGGGTGGCCTTTGTCGCACTTCAACTTCCGCCGGCGACATTCGAGACAAGAAGTAATGAGTCGATTCCTGCGGCGAACGCGCGGTGCAGGCTGCTGTGTCCTCTTATCGGCTTCAACTGGTGGGGAAGCTTGAGACCCGTTCTGGTTCGACAATGATGGGCTCGACATGACTGAGATGCTGTTGAAGCTTGGTAGTGGAAAGCC